ATATATATATATAATATATATATATATATAATATGTGTACGTGTATGTGTGTATGTGCGTATGTATGCATGAATGTATGTTTGTGTGTGTTATGTTTGCATGTATGTATGTATGTATGCATATATGTACGTCTGTATGCTTGTTGTTTTTACCCGGGGGTGGCCCTGGTGGGGGTTGTGGGGGCTGTTGGGGCGCTGCGGCTGCCGCTCCTCCCATGAGAATTGCTGCGGCCTGCTGCCCCATGACGGTCATTGCATGCGTCTGCGCAGAAGAAGTCGTAGTGTAATCGTTGGGTCGGGAAACTTTGAGCGGCACCCCAAGACACAGCATGCCGTCCATGGTTAGTGCTCTCTCGGTTTCTTCTACGGAGCTGAACTCCACGAAGCCGTAGTTGCCTTTGTCCTTTGCAAACCAGACGTACAGCACGGGATTCACGTTTGGGTTTGAGCAGAAGCCCCGCAGCTTCATCTCCTCCCACACCATTTCCTGGAACATCTGTTCCGTCAGGCCTGCATGCAGTGGCAAGTTCCCGAAGTACAGCCGTCGCAGCTTCCTCGTGCTGTTCATTGCTGCAGCATCAAGCTGCTGCGGCCCCAAGGCCCCCGCCGCCTTCGCTACCCACTGGAAACCATCCCAGAAGAGGCGGATCGGTTCATGGCCTTCACTATCCGCCAACTTCTGAAACCCTCCTGCTCGACGGATACACTCCGCCTGCTGCCGGCGACGACGCCGCTCCCGACTCCTCGATCGCTCCCTCGATGTGCTAATATCCCTGTTCAATCGCTTCTTGGTCCTTCTAGACTCCCCCTCTCCTCCCGCTGCTGCTGCTGACGATGGACGACCTGCTGACAAAGAACGCTGACGATCGTATGAACCTCCTCCGCCTCCCCCACGTTCGCGCCGGTAATGGTCGCGATAGTACCCACCACCACCGCCTTCCCGATCCCGATCCCGTGGACGGTATCGCTCCCGCTCCCTATCCCGGCCACGGTCATCGTCGCGATACCCTCCGCCCCCTTCATAACCACCTCGTGAAAATGTTGCAGGACGGCCACTCCATTCTCGTCGTTCCCTATCTGGTGCACCACCGCCACCGCCTCTATACGCGCCGTGTTGCTCCCTGTAACCCCCGTGGTGTTCTCGACCGCGCCACTGCGGCCACCTCCCCTCTTCGCCTCCATAACCTTCCCCAGCCTCGTGGGGTGCAACCCCACCCCCACCCGGTCCCGTTCCCCGATCCCCCCCTCCTCGCCAGGATGATGAGCCACGCCGCCCGTTCGAATGGGGGGGGCCCCCGTAACCCCCCATATCCCCTCCTCCACCTCTCTCGCCCTCTCGGGGCATCATGGTTTCTGCGACAACAACGCAAAACAAAACAAAACATTTACCATAACGCAAGTAAATTCTCACTGCCAACAATGCATTCACCATAACACCCTAAAAACACACACAACAGGCTTCTTCAACAGAAGACCCTCAGGCACCTCCTGCTGCCACTCGAGCTGCAACTTCTGCTGCTGCCGTAACGCAGCCACATTAACCGATTAACTGCTGTCCAACTTGCGGGCGCACCAACTGGTATCGTCTGAAGGGGCTAGTGGCCCCTCAGCTGCTTCGGATAAGCCGCGAACGCTGCAGCACCACCACTACCAGCAGCACTTCAATCCAGCAGCACTACCGGCAGCAGCAGCAGCAACAGCTGCAGCTGCTGCAGCAGCAGGACCACACGCCTCGCTGTGCCGCGTCCTTTGCCGCCCGGGCTACTGCTGCGGGGTGTTAACTGGCGGCCAGCGGAGCACAAGGAGGAACAGAGGGAGAACGCTAGCCTCTGAGAAGAGAAAAAGAGGAAATGAAATGCAAAAAGCAGTTAAAATACCTCTTTCAATCTTACGAACTCCCCCAAACAGAACGCGGAAACGACAGGGGGTAATGGCGGCGGTGATACGGCCCCCAATGGCTTCCGCTAGTGAGACACTGTACATGCAGCACAAGGAGAAAAGGAAAAAAAATAGAAGGATAACAGGTAATTATGGTATTATCTTATTAATAAATGCTATCTGGATGCAAATTCATCTTTGGCTTTTTGTCAGAAACAGTATTTGCCGGACGTATTTCACGTGTACCGACAAACACCTCTCACCATCAGCGAACACAGGGGAAAAAGCAACACCCCTCCTCCACCTCTGTATCGGTTTTGTTCGTTGACTGTGTGTTTTGTTGGTTTATTGATCGTTGTGACTTTGTGTTTACCATCTTTACTATAATCTCGAGAGAATTAGCTAGCGGCTTCTTAAGCCCAACCCTCATTTGGAGCTCCTCCTGGCGGGTGCAAACCGTTCCGCCGGGTCAGAAGGTGTGTCCTCCTGAAGTCTTCTTCTACCGGGTCCATATTCCCTGTCCTCTTCTTCTTGCCCCCATCCTCGTCGCCACTGCTCTTTCTCCACTTCAGCATTTTTTGCCTCCTTTAAGTCTTCCTTGCTTACCGTCCGCCAGTCCAGAGGAGTTCCCGACGGCCGACGATGGCGACTGAGGGTGCCGAAGGTTTCGTTCAACCCGCTAAATGAGTCAGAGAGCCCGAGAAGGGGGAGGAGGAGAGGGAAGAAGACGGATAGGAGGAGCTGATGCTGCAGGCGTTCGACGCTGTGAAGGGTTAAACACAGAGCAACCGACGTCAATTTCAGGAAGGGTACAACACTCCGCAGCAATGGATATAGAGGACCTGGCTGCAGAAACGTCCGCAGCACCAACTGCAGCAGGTGCTGCAGGGGTAGCAGCGGCGGCCCGTGCGAAGCGTCCTCGATTTCGTCTGGTGGTGGAGGACGAAGGCGATGATTTCTTCGGAGGCCGCTCCACGAAGATGCCGAATTCTACTCATAAACCCCAAAGTGACAGTACAACAAGCGCAGGTAGTTTATTTGCAGCTGCAACTGTATCACCTCCTGGCGCCGCAGCAGGAGGGCGCCGGAGTGCTTTGGAGGCGGTGTTTGGTGTTGAGGTTTGGCAGGGAGGAGGGGAGAGGGTTGGATATTTGTACAACATCACGCAATCGAATTTTACGGTTGCGGCTTCGAAGGAGAAGAAACAAGTATACTCGGGTCCGTACAAACCCTAGGCCTCGGATCCTCAGCGGTTAACCCGGAGCCCTGTGCAATACATTGGAGACTTAGTCTAACATGCCCTTACTGTATTGCGTACAGTGTATTGTGGGTTTGCTTATGCTAAGAGTTGGGTAAATGGGTGTCGATTGTGAGCGTTGGTGGTTTTTGAGGGGTTGCGTTTGAAGGGTTTGTAGGAGTTTTAGGGTGTGTAGGGTTTCTACGGGTATTTGGGTTTGTCTTAGGTTTGAATATGTACTTTGTTACTGAGGAGGGGATGGTCTTCCGCTCCACTTTGTTGCACCGACCACACTTTGCAGTTGGACTTCGCAGGAGGGCAGGAGATGCAGCGGAAGCCGCAGAAGCAGCAGCAGCAGCTCTGGGAGAGAGACTCTCTAAGTTCAATGTATTCAACACAGATCTATACCACTGGATGAACTAATGCTCCTGTTGGTGCTGCCTCTGGTTTTGCTGCTGCTGCTTTTCTTGTTGTTCTGTTGCCGCTGCTGTTGTTGCTTCTGTTGTGTCCGTTTGCTCATTACACCGAGCCAGGCAACGAGAGATGTGGAGAGCCTTGTCCGTTATTTGTTTTGTTTGGGTTTGTGTTTCGCATTTCTGTGCTGCAGGTATCGATATCTGAAATAGGCTTAATTGATCTAAGGGACTCTTCTCATTTGGCTGCCTACGGACCTTCTGCTGCTGATGCTGCTGCTGCTGCTGCATGCAGCGATTTCCGCAGCCCCAAAAGAAAACTCGACTTTCTTCGGCTTTCGTTTCCAACTGTTAAGGAACTTGTGGAAGCCAAGCAAGACCTCAGCTATCTCAGTAATACCACACACTCGAAATATGCGCATGCGGCTGTTGCTTGCTGTTGCTGCTTCTGTTGCTGCCAAACAAGACCTCAACTACATCATCAATGCCCCACCGTATTTGTGTGCTGCTGTTGCTGCATGTGCTGCTATTGCTGTCGCTGGGGAACACTACGTCGACCACATTAGTAGCAGCACACACAATTATAAACACTCACCTAGTGAGGACTGCTGCTGTTAATGACAATACCTCTGCTGCGGCTGTTTTGGTTTGGTTTTGCTAAGCAAAGCGTTACCTACATCTGTTCGGCAGCTCATAATGCACTGATGAAAGGCTTATGCTTAGATCCGTGTGTGCATTTGTTTCTGCCTCCGCTGCTACTGATGGTTGCGCTGTTGCGATGACTGACTGGCCGTTATCACTGTTGTTGCTGTTGCTGCTTCCTTTGGCGTTGGTGATGCTGATACTGCCTTGATTGTTGCTTGTGCATCTCGGAAAATGCTGAGGCCTCCTCGATATTTTGTGCTTGGTTTTCTGCCCTCCTGTGCCTACTGTTTGCCATTTGCCAGATGCAGAGAAAACTGTATCTTTTGTGCATTTAGGTTCCCTGAACAGTTATACTGGAGTTTGCTTTGCTTTTTAATTTAGTGTTTTATGGATCTACTGATTTGTCGGGTTGTTGGCTTTTTGTTACATTAATTGCAGTGTACTTTGGCGAATCTGTTTGTTTCATACCTGTCAGGTTGGTTGTTTAATTCGCTTGTTTTGTGGCTTCGTTGCATTGTATATATTTACATTTATATGTGTGCATGCTGGCTCGTTGTAATCGCTTTGCATTAGTTTGTCCTGATTGTTTGATTATGTTTTATGTCTCAGTTCGTGAATCTGCTCATCGTCGGTCGTCGCCTTCTTCTTCGTCGTTGAATTTCGGTGTGTTGGACGCTGATTTCACACCCGATTTAAACTTGGACTTATCATCCTCGTCTTCTGCTACCACCGGTGCATGCAAACAACAGCAGCACAAGCACTCGCTCGATGTTCTTGAAGAAATATTCGAAGCAGATGTTCCGTACATCTCAAGGTCAGCACACCCGCATTTGCAGCAGCAGCAACGACAAGAGAAACACCATCAACCGCAACAGCAGCACTAGCAGAATCGGGATCAGTGGCAACAGCAGCACCTCCAGCAGTGGCATCAGCAGCAGCGGCAGCAGGTTCAGAAGTAGCAGGATCAACCGGATCTGCAGCAGGAGCAGAATAAACAACAGCTGCAGGAGCAGCAGCGGCAGAGGCATCCGGATCATAGTGCGTGTTGGTATGTGCCTGCGCAGGTGTTGCATTGATTTGGATATTCGCTGTGGCCGTTGGTATTCCATTAGCAGACAGACAACTAGCATCAGCGAGCCCCTAAAGGTAAACCCTAAAGCCTAGACCGTGAAGCCTGAGGCTCTCGTTATGTGTGTGCATTATGTCGCCCTATTTCCTCTGTGTTGTTCTCTCTCTGTGTTGTCATGATTTCACGTGAGAGAAATTACAGCTAATGAGAAAACTCATCTTTCCCCCATCTATGTGTTTGTGTATAATTGCTTGTCTGTGTTTTGTTGGTGCACATGCCGTTTGGTCCTTTAGTGCTGCTGCATGCACCGGAATATTTATCAAAACGTTGTTGGAAACCATTCCATGTTGTGTGGGAATGCGTCTGTGTGCATGTAGCTATCTGTACACCCGACATTGTCTAGCGCAGCTCCATTGTCTGTGTTGGCGTTCGACATCGAATGCTTCAAGGAGCCTTTGAAGTTTCCGGACGCGCAGAAGGACCCTGTTATCCTGCTGTCTTATGTCTTTAACCAACAAGGGTATTTGATTGTTAATCGGGAGTTTATTGCAGCAGAAATCCCCTGCTTTGCCTTTTCCCCGCATGCAGATTTACGGGGATTGAGCGATATGATCGTCTTCAACGAAGACAATGAAACAAAAGCCATCCAGAGATTTGCTTCACATCTCAGCAGACTCAAACCACACGTGGTTGTGACATACAACGGCGATGATTTCGACCTCCCCTATCTCTTCACAAGGGCTAATGCAAGTTTATGTTTTGCCATTTCTCTCCCTTTCCTTCGCTGTCATTTTCCTTTCTTCTGTTTTCCAGCTTTTCTCTTTTGTGTTTTAGTGGACCTATACAGCGCTACCCCGAAGTTACCTCTGTTTCTCTTTTAAGCTGTCCTCTGCTTGTCTTGGGCTGCTCTTTTGTCTATTATTGTATATTCTGTGCCGGCGTTTGCATTCATTTCTTCCTTCGTCCGTCTACGCCCCCCTCTCAGCCTTGCGTCTTCTGCTTTGTTTTTGTATCCTCGTTGCCTCCCCGCTTCATGAACACTGTCTCAGTCTATATATTTAGTATTTATTAATTTACCCGCATGCTTTTTGTCTTTTTCCCCCCTGGTTTAATTATCTGTATGTTTAGTTGATTACTTGCACTTTTTTTCGTTTTGTCGCCCTTCTCGTGTGTCTACGTGTACGGTTTACATGGCGTTTTGCTATTTTCACTTGCTTGTCCATCTCATCCATTTGCGCTGCCGTTTCCCTTCTTCTGTCTTGCTTTTACAGTTGTACTGGGTGATTGTAATCTCTCTAACGTGTTTTCGTTTTTCGATACGTGTATTCACTTCGGTTGGTTTGACATGTTTCATCATACTTGGACGGTTGCAGGTGTACGGGCTTCTTACGGGTGCTCATTTGGCCTAGCATTTGTGCATATAATGTTATTATTGTAATGTATTGTTATTCATTTATTGGTTATATATTGTGTACTGTTTATTTCGTGTTGTGTTGTACTTATGGGGTGGTGCAGCTGCTGGGAGTTGACTTAAGTTCTTTAATCGGGTTGCTGCCACCCCAGAAGGGAGAGGCGGTAGTGGGCGTGGGACCGGTCTTGCACTTGGACGCCTTTAAGTGGGTAGAGAGAGACTCCTACCTCCCTCAGGTACTTCAGTTGAATAACTAAATGGATTAATTGTAAATAGAATAAATAGATAAAGTGATGGCTTAATATGCCAATGCATTAAAGTGGGTAGGACGGGAGTACCACCTACTGCAGGTACATCAAGTTAATTATTCGAGTATTTGGGTATTTAAGTAATCAACTAGTTAAGCAGACAATTAATTGGGACGCTTGCCCCCCGTGGGTAGGCAAACTGAGGCGAAAAGAAATCGGACAGCCAGCTAACAACAGCGTCTACCTCCGGAAGATCACAAGCACAAATAAATAAAAAGAGCTAGGGACACACCAAAGAATTGGGTGTTTCACTCGGCTGTTTTGTCAATGCGGATTATTTTAGCTAGTCTGGACTTGATCCAGTTATCAGCTGTTTGATGCATACCTCTCGTTTTCTTCGCTGTAGTTCTGCAGTTTTACCCTTTTTCTTTTGTCCATCCATACTGGAGAACCAATATGCACTTTTGCTGTTTAATTTAGTGCTCGCATACATTGAGATGGGTTTGTTGTTTACTTCATTGTCGTAAATTATAGGAATTATTATCGAAATCCATTCAACTTCCAAACTCAGTTGGTGGTCATTTTTTGATAAGTGGTCGATAAATTCGACCGCCGGCCATTAGTCTGCCCAGTTAGTTATTGTTAGGCTAATTAATTGATACTGGCTGAATTAAATTTTCCTTGGTTTTTACTCGGTCGATGTTTTCAGGGCTCCCGCACATTGAAGTCGGTCTGCAAGATGAAGTTGGGATTTAACCCTGTTGAGGTGGACCCTGAAGATATGGTAGGGAGGGCCTTCTTTTCTTTCCAGTCCCCGTTTTTGTCCGTTTGTCTGTTTGGTTGAGGGTTAAAACATACGGTAGTCTAATGGTATTTCGCTAAGTGTATTATTCCTCTTGTTTTTCGGTGTTGCGTTGGGTGAGCTTTAGTTATGACACTGGCATCAACATCAAGCCCCGCTGTCTATCGCTTTGTTCAGTTTACTCACTTGATTTAATATCCAATTTTTCTCTGCTTGTCTTCTGTGTAGTCTGTCTGTCCATCCGTTTTCTACTTTGTTTGTTTGTTTGCGTATCACTTTCGTCGGTATCTTTATTGCATCGGTTTGCAGTGTTTATGCTTGCGTTTATATGCATTTGCATATTTCTTTCAGTATTAGCCATCTACGTTTATGTACACATGTGTGCGTATAGTGTGGTGACGATTTCTCTGAGTGCATACACACGCTTGTATAGACAGGTTTCTATCCAGGTCTGAATTTCATTTTCCTGTCCACATAGATAGGCACATCTACATTTATGCGTATATGTACATCTACATTTATACTTACATTTGTATTATGCATTTAGTTCCACTTACATTTGTATGTATTCTGAGCATTTGCTCTTTTCCGTTTCTCTTGCAGGTGCCAATGGCATACGAGGACCCCCAGCGTCTGTCCGTGTATTCTGTCTCGGATGCAATGACAACATACTTGTTGTATTGCAAATTCATCCATTCTTTTATTCTTGCGCTGAGCTCCATTATACCCATGCCAGTGAGACACTCCTTCCTTTAGCTATAGCACAACTTCTCTTCGCAGTTGCTTCTATTTTGCCGGTGCTGCGACGGCTGCTGCTCCTGCTACAGTCCTCTTTGTTGAGTTCCCTGTCATTGTATATCTCTTTGTTGTGCTTCGGCTGCTCCTTGCGTACCTACCACGTTTGTGACTCCCTCTCCACCTCTCTTTAGCTGCTGCTTCTTTTCCTGCTGCATTTGGTGTAGCTACTACGTTCCGTGATGGATTCGCTGCAGTTGCTGCTGGGCATCCTGCAGCTGTTGCGTGTGCTGCTGCATGTTAGCAGCTCGCTTATTTTATGCTGTGGTAGCAGGTGTTGTTTGTATGTGCTGCTGCGTCTCATTGCACTGCATTTTGTGCATGCCATTTCCTTTTTTGTCGTTTTGTTTAAAGCCGGAGTCGGTACTGCGCCAAGGCACTGGCACTCTGTGCGAGTTTCTGCTGATGGCCGAGGCCAATGGGCGGCATATTGTCTTTCCTAATAAACATCAGCAGCAGCTGAAAGTGTTTTGGAAGGACAAGAAAACGCAGAAGACACATTTGGTCCTTCAAGATAGTTACACCGGTGGCAGAGTCGAGTCCCTCCGATGCGGAATGTAGGAAAATTCTCATTGATTTTGTTCCTGTTGCTCCAGCATACTGGCTCTTGTTCTGATTGGCTGTCTATTGTTTCTTCTTGTTTGTTGTTTGCTATTCTTATTGCATCTTGTCTGTTTTGTTGGCCGTTGTTATGGGGTATTGCTGCTAATTCTTGTGGATTGTTTGTTTTCGACCGCGTCTATTGGTTATTACGTATTGTCTTTTTTTCTGCTCCCTCTCTTTGTCCTCTGTGCTTTTTGTGGTTTTTAGTCTCACCCGTTATCTGCGTTAGTTTGTTTCTATTTGTCACTCTCGGTTCACTCTCAGTTTTTGTATCGCCTTCTGTGCCTGTCCTCTCCCTTTCCTCTGTTTTTTTTTGCCACTCTCTGCGTGTGCGCACTCAGCGTCGTGGGTTTGTGTGCATAGATATCTGTTTGCTACCTTATCAGCTTTGCACTCTTCTGAACAGCTCTGATTATTTATTAGTGTGTTTCGCCTGTTTTAGTTGATTTTTATGTTGAGTTTGCTGATTTTTACGTTCATTGTGTTGATGCATATATATGTGTTGCAGCTACCGCCGAGATTTACTTGAGCGTTTCGAGTTGCAATCGGCATCGGTTTGCGCCTTGGAGGCGAATGTGGAGTCCGTGTTGGAATTTTGGATGCAAGAAGAAAGCAAGACGCTTGGAAGGCCTTTATCTCCCTCTTCGTTTGTAGACTTTGACCAGCACCTCCAAGATATCCAGAAGAGGCTGCTTCAACTCAAACAAAAGCGGTTGCTGCTAGCCAAGCCGCTGCTGCTTCACTTAGACGTCTCTGCCATGTACCCGAACATTATCCTCACCCAGAGGCTGCAGCCTCCAGCAATCAAAACCAACGCTCAGTGCAACGAGTGCCCTTGGAAAGACAAAGGTGTGGTGTTCCCCATGCGCTACCGGTTGAGCTCTGCACTCGTTATCTTTATTGAGACAGTTGGTTTGTCAAATGCTATTCCTCAGCTTATCTTTCTTTAGTTTATTTCTTCTTTGGTTTATTTCCTCTTTATTTTCTTCGTTATTTACCGTACTGTATTTATTACATTTCTTTCTCTGCTCGCCTTAGCAATGCATATCCGGGGCCCACGCCGACTCGCTGTAGATAAGCGTCCTCTTCAGAGCAGTGACGGGTTGCCGATTCAAGATTTCTATTTGCTACATACAATTTATACTGTTTAATTCGCTTTATTCGACTAGCTGTATGCCTTTTTATTCTCTGTTTTGATTTTATATGTTTCTTTGTCCGGTTTCCTTTCGTTCCTTGTTTCATTTGTTGCTTTCTGTATTTCTCCACTCGTTCGATCCATTCCGTTGTTTGTAATGCTTTTTGATTTGTCGGATATGGCCAACTGCTTGCTTGTTTTCGCTCGTTTTATCAGTTAAATTGGTTCATTTGTTGTCTCTGCAGCCGATGAATGCCAGCGAAAGCTGCATTGGCGTCGCAAGTTAGAAGTAACCCCCGCTGAGAAGGGGGAGGTGTTGTCCATCGAGCGGCACTTGGCTTCTGCTGCGCACGCAGTGCATACAACCCCAAGCAGCAGCAACGCTAAAGGCAAGGGGACTCGGTTCACCAAGTCAGAGAACGACAATGAGCGAGCAGACAGCGGAGGCAGCCAAGGGGAAGAGGGGGGAACAGATGAAGAGGAGTATGACGATGATGACGATGAAGGCAACTCAAGAGCAAACAAGCGGGAAAAGCAAATGCTTTCCAAGAAATCCTGGCACGAACTGACCGACAAACAGAAGCACTTCCTTCTCATCAAAGCCGTGAAGAAATACTGCCAAAAAGCACACAAAAAAACCAAAATTGTTAAAGTAATCAGACACTCGAATTCAACTTTGGGATTTACGGTTTAGACTGTGTGTTGTTGGACATTGAGTGCGTAGAGTTTTGGTGTCATGTGAGCCAACAAATGAAACAAACTGTCATTTGTTGCAGTAATTTGTCAACAATGACTTTGCAAGAATCGATGAATAGATGATTGAGTAGAAAGTGGTAATTAGTTGCATGATGGATTTGATTGTGAATTCAGGAAGTTGAAGAGGAATCAATCGTATGCCAGCGCGAGAACTCCTTCTACGTCGACACCGTGCGGGCCTTCCGTGATCGGCGATATGTCTTCAAAAAGAAGTTAAAAGAAGTAGAAAGGCATTTGCACAAACTAAAACAAACAAATGCCCCCTTTCAAGCAATTAAACAAGCAGCCGTAGGCTTGTCAATCCTGTAAAATTTCGCCCCCGCCTTTCAAGGCTTGCGTTTCTTCATGCAATTGTCTGTTTGGTTGTTTTGCTTTCCTGGGTTGTTTGCATTATTGCTGGTTCCCTTTGGGATAAATTTATTTATCAGCTTGCGTGTCTGTAGAAGTTCTTTTTCCCACTCCCGGTATCTCTTGTTAATGTATTAATTTTCATAATACTTTGTTAATTGATTAATTGGTTTGCTTCTCAAGCAGTTAGTTGATTATTATTGAACGTGGCACTTACTGCTTCATTGTTTTCGGGGGGTATATTTTCAAAAGGAAGCCACCCTTGTTTGCCGCTGCTAGTGCTGTTGCGTTTGTCGCCTCTTCTGCTGCTTTTTTTTGCTATATGATTGGGCTTGTCCCGCGTTTGCTACGTGTGCTGCTGCGTTTGTGCTTATTTTTCAATATGATTTTTGGGGTATCCCAACCGAATAAATTGGTTGGGAAGGGTCCTTGTTTTTCTGTTTTCCTTGTCCCCGTTTAATACATTGCTTGTTTTTTCTCTTGTTGTTTTGCAAGGACTTGGTCCTACTGAACGATTCTCTCCAGCTGGCGCATAAGTGCATTTTGAATTCTTTCTATGGATATGTTAAGAGGCCGGGGGCCCGCTGGTTCTCCATGGAGATGGGAGCCATTGTCACGAAAATGGGGGCAGATGTCATACAAACTGCAAAGTAAGAGCTGCCTACTGCTGCTGCTGCACCTGTTCATGCTGCTCCTATTGCTTTTCTTCCTCCTCCTGCTGTCCTGCTGCCCTCCGCTACTGCTGATGATGCTGATCCCACCGCTGCTGATCTTGCTATTTCCGTTCATCCTGCGCCTTTTGGTCCTCCTGGTAGTGCTCCCACGGCTGCACCTTCTGCTGTTGTTGTCGGCTGGCATAAAGCGACAGGGGAGAGGGGGGGGGGGGGGGGGTGT